TGTAATGTCTTGCCAGGTTTGGCTTTTCTTTGCGATAGGCTGCGGGCGGTTTTGTGGACCGCCTTATAGTGTCCGCGCAGCACCATGGCTGATGGTGTGGAGACTCAGATGAAGGCATTGATCGAGTTTCTGCGCGCCTCATCGGCAGAACCAGTGCTCATCGAAGCCCATGTGCGATCCCTTCGTGAGAAAATCTCAGCACTTCCCAAAATGTCCTTGGAGCAAGCAACGGCTTTGGCATCTACAGTGAAGTCAGCCGAGGGTGTGATTGAGGGGAAGGATGTGAAAGCAATCTTAGATGCCCTGCATGAAAAAATGAAAGGTGCTCCTTTGGATCCGAAGGGGAAACGCCCCATGCAAGAGTGGTTGACTTGGGCGTGCTTCTTGACGGCAGACCTTTGGGAAGTGATTTTGAAAGGAACCAACACATCTCTGGTTCTGAAGCAAGTCGTGCAGTTCTTATTCAATCTTGGCCTGCGATGTCCCTCAGAAACGGTCTATGGGACACTCACGGCCATGTTGGTTTTGAGAATGCCTGAGAATGAGCGCAACTTTCAAACCACACAGGACTGGTTCAGCTTGCACACGACGGTCAAGACCCAAGTGAAGGCTATCTTAGAGATGTCAAAAGGCCAAGACCCGGGCATCATTGGCACCTACCTTGTTTCTCTGCCAGGTGACTTCAGAGAGCTCCATGAAGATCTGCGGAGGAGAGTGTACGGTGACTGTGGGGAGCCAGTTCCGCCGAGGAATCTTGGAATGGTAATGTAGATGTTTCATTTTCCTGTCTGTTCTTGGCATCTGTTCAAAGGAAATCTATGTACATTTAACGGTTTACAGACATGCAAATGCATTCAGTCGCGTACCGCTTATTGATGGTAAGCAGGAGCCTAAACCCACATAGACGTGTGCATCGACCTTTGATGTCGTCATTGTGTTTTCTGTTTCATTGCCACTGCTGAGGATTCAGACGGAGAATCTTATCTTTTTGGCGAGGACGATGCCTTTGCGAAAATCCCACAAAGAAGCGCCGCGTCCTGCAGCCTTTTCTGGGTCATTGCAGCATGGCTTCCTGCCAACTCATTTGATGCAATATATGGCTCAGGCCATGATGTCGAGCTGTGGGCAGCTGTCTTCCGGGTGTATGCCAGGTATGGGGTCTTTGAACCAGTGGGCTCATCAACAGGGCCAGGAGCGTTCCATGACTGGCCCTACTGCTCCGAGAGTTCCACTTGCTTTGACAATGGAACCGGAAACCTTGCCAAAGACAGAGAATTTGACGACAACTAAGCCCATGGATGGACATTCCAGGGCGTCTACCCCAAGCCCACCGGCAACATCGTCTCCTGCGGCGGTTGAAACTATTCAACCTATTGCTTTGCTTTCAACTTCAAGCCAGGAAAACTTGGAGAAGCCTGAGAACCCGGGTGTGTCAATGCCAGAGGCACCAAAAGCTGACAACCTTGGTGCCATGGAGCAGGATCGGCTGCAACCACCATTGGAGGTAAAGTCCAAAACCGATCCTGCGGTTCCACTGCCTGAAAAACACGATCCTGTGGTACCAGGGCCTGAAAAGCACAAGGGTGTGAAGTCTGCGCTCTTGAGCTTGGATGAGGCAATGGAAAAGCGTGAGACTGACAAGAGAGGCATTCCAAAGTCAGGCGCCGCAATGAAGAGGCCAGCCGCTAAAGGCCCGACTGCGAAAGCAAAAGCTAAAGCAGCGAGCGCCAAGGCAAGCAACGTCCCAAAGAAAGTGATGTCTTCTTCGAAGCCTGTTCAGAAAGCGATGGCAAAGACCAAGGTGAAGAAAAACGCAAAGTCGAAGTCGAAACCTTGTCTCCGGCCATGGCCGTCTCAGAAAGAAATGAAGAAGTGGAAGCCTACAGGTTGCAGCAAGTGCAGAAATGTTCCTGGCTGCACCACCTCATGCTGGGTGCAACGAAGACATGGTCCACCACCTTCAAAATGAGGACAGCTTAGCTCTTCTTCGTCAATGTGACCTGCAGCTTCACAGGCCGCACTGACTGTCAGCGGCCTGCCGCCTCAGTGACTTGTTGGGGTAGGGATGCAAGAGACATCCTTCAGTTCTGTAATTTTGAAGCTGAATCTGACCTGCAGCTTCGCAGGCGCACTTTGTGAGCGGCCTCGTGGGCCGCCTCAGTGATTTGTTGGGGTGGGGGTGCAACAGACATCCTTGAAGCCAGCTTTTGCGGGTATAGAAATGTTGTTTTGCCATGGTGACATTCAGTAGATAGATAATCTTCCTGGAAACCCATGTGTTGTTTGACTTGCTTTATGTCGTGCCACCTGTCAGCATGTATTCCCAGCTGCGCTTCGATTGTGTGTCACAAGCAAAACTGCGAAACTACACTGAAACCACAAGTGGGTACAAACTGTGCCACTATGTTCCACTGTCAAGTACTGGAGGGTTTAATTTAATGGCCCCTGCCTGTTCTAAGAATAACCACTTTCAATACAAAATTATGTGAACGAAAGCAGTGCAAGGGAGTGTTATCTACCACATGTTTGCTTTCTAGCGAGCCATGTCTGCCACTACATCGTCCTCCCATCAACCAGGTCGTTCACGACACAGGCGCCGCCGTACTTCCAGGAAAAGAGAAGATAGAAGCTCAGAGAGAGCACTACGAAGGCGCAGAACATTGCGCTTTAATCAGGTCGTCAGCCCATCTCCTCCTACAGACAATGAAAATTGCTTTCATTGGCGAGCTTCAGATGGCGTGGAAAAGGCCACTGCGTCCACATGTGGTTCTTCCCAAGTGAAGTTGGAGTCAGAGATGCTTGGTGGCCAAACTGAGCAGCCCCAGAAACGAAAACATAGAAAAAAAAGCCGAAGTCCAAGCCGGAGAGTCCAGAAGAGGTGAAGGCCTGCGTGTGTGTCGCAAGATATCGGCGCAAAAAGGAGCTGGATCCAGATCCTGCGCAGCACAACCATGATCCTTCTCCTGAAGTTTCAGAGACTTTGGCAGAGACTTCAGAGGCAAAAGTGCAAGATCGTGGGCCGCCAAAGATTTCGCACTTGGCAGCAGCAGATGCCCACCACTCAGTAGATCTTAAGCCAGAGATTTCTCAATCAGCATCGACAGATGCCAATCCAGACATTTCGCAATCGGCATCACCAGATGCCCAGCCAGAGATTTCGCAATCGGCATCAGCAGATGCCCAGCCAGAGATTTTGCAATCGGTATCAGCAGATGCCCAGCCAGAGATTTTGCAATCGGCTTCATCAGCAGATGCCCAGCCCGAGATTTCGCAATCGGCTTCATCAGCAGATGCCCAGCAATCAGTTTCACCATTGGCATCAGCAGAGGCCCAGCCAACGAATTCGAAAGAAACACCAGCTCCAAATAGTGAGACTTCGGCCCAAGCAGTGGATGCCCAGCAGCCAGCCGCAGAGCAAGAAACGCAGCCAGAAGCGCCAGGATGGAAGCAGCGCCTATGCAAAGATGGTGTGGTGCGTTGGTTCATGGAGTACCGTGACGATCATGGTTTCAGAAGCAAACGAGAATGGGAGCGACAAGTTTTAAAGAAGAACCGCAGCCGCCGAGGCAAGTAGGATAGAATAGCGTCTGTGCTGGAAAAAGAGATGGCAGAGCATGAGTGGGGATACGTTTCCAACAAGGTTTTGAAACGCTATCAGGAGGGTTTGTTTTCAGCACTGCGTGCAGAAGACACATGGTAGATCACAAACGCATCAGTTTTGGTACGTTTCTGTAACTAGGTTCCTCTGGCATTTACTTGTGGCGCTGTGCTTGTTTAAGCGTGGGGCTGCTCTGTGGGCAATTTAAGCATACTGTAAATGGTGCACAAGTTGAGGGTGGTTTGTTCAAGCATCGGGCTCTGTGACGCCTTTCCCCCACAGTCATGCACATTTAAGCATACATGGTAAACAAGTTGAAGGTGGTTTGTTTTAGCATGGGGCGGCTCTGTGGGCCGCCTATCCTCCACACTCATGCACATTTAAGGGTACATGGTAAACAAGCTGAAGGTGGTTTGTTTAAGCGTGGGGCGGCTCTGTGGGCCGCCTATCCCCCACACAGATGCACATTTAAGCGTACATGGTAAACAAGTTGAAGGTGGTTTGTTTAAGCGTGGGGCGGCTCTGTGGGCCGCATATCCCCCACACAGATGCACATTTAAGCGTACACGGTAAACAAGTTGAAGGTGGTTTGTTTAAGCGTGGGGCAGCTCTGTGGGCCGCCTATCCCCCACACAGATGCACATTTAAGCGTACATGGTAAACAAGTTGAAGGTGGTTTGTTTAAGCATGGGGCGGCTTTGTGGGCCGCCTTTCCCAACACTCATGCACTTTTAACCGTACATGGTAAACAAGTTGAAGGTGGTTTGTTTAAGCATGGGCTTTCCCCCACACTCATGCACATTGTTTGGACAAATTAAGAGACTCAGGAAAATGTAAAAGATGTAAATGACTGAGATAGCAAACGTTTCCTGACCTTGAAACGAAACTTTAAATTATTGAGATAGCGCGGGGGCTTGCATTAGTTGCAACACCGCGCCTGACCGTGAAACGTAACTTCAAAAAAATAAAAGAGCGCGGGTGGATTTGCATTAGTTGCAACACTGCATAAATGATCGTTCATAGATGTACATATGCTGTATAATATACGTATATATGCGTCCAATATACATCAATATACGCCCAATATACGTCAATATACGCCCAATATAACTCAATATACGTCCAATATACGTCAATATACGTCAATATACGTCCAATATACGTCAATATACGTCCAATATACGTCAATATACGTCAATATGCGTCCAATATACGTCAATATACGTCCAATATTCGTCAATATACGTCCAATATACATCAATATACGTCAATATACGTCCAATATATTTGACAGTTTTGCTGCTATATTGATTGTTTTATATACGAGTTTTCTTTGACAGGTGTGTTTCCGCGATCGCCGTCGCAGCCAAGCCACCTTGGTAGTCACCGTGTTTTCTTAGTCATGCTCAACTACGGCTACGTGACTACCATGACATGGGAGAATTTTCGCGAAGACCAACTGGCAGCCAGGATTGAGTGGCAAGGCGAATTACCAGCGAAACAGAGTCATCGTTATCGTCTTGGAGGCAACACGCACTTAGGATGCATTGCGGCAGTCATTGTAACAAAACCTTTAGTTTTTCAATGGTAGACTACTCCGGTGTTGCATCTTCTACCAGAATGTAAGTTTGTTCATAACATTTCATAACAACATCAAACATATAGTTTTTTTCCCTGTGTCTTCAAGGATCTTTTTGGAGCTGGGCATTCGGGGCAGCTTTGTTCCATTCCAAGCGATTGAAGAGCAAGTGTACGAGCACTATGACATCTTCGAGCGGAAGACGACTCCATTATCCATTGCGGTTGCGCGTCCACCCTCGGGAGTTGCTCAGAAGATTTACCATTTGGTCCGCGATGGGAACTATGTAGACATCAAGTCCTTCCAGGGAGAATTTGTAACCAGGGTGAAATATCACGGGAGTGCACAGGTTCAAGACTTCTTGATGTTCTGCATGGACGCTGTGGACGACACCGTCCCTCCCATCGATCGACGAAACCAGATGCGTTTTGTGGTGAACGGTACACACTTCATCTCAAATGGTGAGTGGCGTGATGAGGTTTCAAAATGTTTTTTCGCCAATGAGTGAGGAGGCTGTGCCTAAGGCAGCGCCCAAATCCTCCAAGGCAGCACCCAAGAAATCTCCCAAGCCGGCGCCCAAGAAGTCCTCGAAAAAGAGACCGGCTGCTAATCAGAGCCATGGTGTCAAAAAGAGGCCAGCCATGAGCTGAAAGAATCATGGCACTTGGGCTTGCCGCATTTGAATACCCTTCAAGCGGCTCAGTGGGCCGCGCCTTGTGCAGCGGCCTTGTGGGCCGCCAAAAGAGGGCTTTTTGATTCAGGTGGACAGCGCCAGCTGTCCCCAATGGAGAGAGACAATCACGATTGTCATTGTGACCATCATGAGAATCATGAACATGAGCCTCATCAGCATTATCATTGACACCGTCAAGACTATCGTGACAGCGCTAGCAGTGTATGCGTTTTTTGTTTTGAGTTTTTCTGGTCCGAAAAGAAAGCGCATCGTTCCCTTCTCTTTGGCACTCATCATGGATGCAGAACCTGCGCCAACCCTTCAGCAGCCGGGCGAGTCACAAGTCAATCCATCTGTCCAGCCAATCTTGAGTGACGAGAGCCAGCGTCTTATGAGGGAATGCCCAGAAAACCAATTGGGCATGGACACTCCTGAGAAGGTTGGAGAGGAGCAGGTTGAAGAAGCAGAAGTGAGTCAAACTGCCAAGGTCGACTCTCTGGTTCTCATGGACAGCCCTCCCAAAGATGAGGAATTGAGCAAAGTCGTTTGCCAGAAGTGCCAGATGGAGGTGTTTGTGTTCGATGCCCAAGCCAAAGGCAAGACTTGGTGGTGTAAAGCGTGCAATGCCATCAACTCGACACTCCGTCGAAACCTCACATGGCCACCTCCAGAGTTTGCTGCTCTGACCACCGAAGAACAGGTTCAATTTTGGCAACAGTGCCGTGCCATGAGGGAAGAAAGCACCGATGGACGACTTCGGTATGATCGATTGCGTGATGTGCTGGTCAATAGCCTTACCATGGTCAAGACCAGTGAGCTTGCCAAGAGCAGCAAAGGCACTTATCTGCCGTTGTCAGTGTATGCGCAGCAGCTTGGCTGCCTTTGGCATTCGTTTCTTCTGTTTTGTGTTCCATGGATGGCAGTAGTTCATTTGTATAGTATATATAGTAAACATAAAACAACTTGATGTATATAAAGAGACTTTTGCAACATTAAAACAATCAAGCAACAGCCCAGGAAAGGATACAACACGAACCAGATCCAGGAGAACGCGCCACAGATGTGGGATCCAATCTTGCAGGAAAAGACCTACATGCTCCCGGTGACGTCTTTGCAAGAGAAAGAGGTGAAACAAAGGATTGAGAGCTCTGTGGCTGCTGCAGAGCGAAGTGTCCGCAAGCGTAAGGTGGACCACCAGCCTGAGGCAGCCAATGTTACAGGCGCTATGATCGTGGATCTGTTGAGCGACAACGAAGACGCGCCGGACACGGAGCAACCGATCCCTGAACCCGAACAAGAACTTACAGCTAAACAGTTGGAAGCCCAAAGGAAGAAGGAGGAGAAGGCTGCTGCACGCAAGGCAGAGGAGCGCAAGAAAGAGAGCCAGAAAGAACGTCGTGAGACGCTGAAGATGAACAAAACCATCGTGAATTTGGCTGGCAAGGCTGTGGTGGAATTGCAGCCTCTGTGCGTGGAGCTGCAGCAGACCTGTGCTTCTGGAGATGACAATTGGCCAGACCTCTTGAAAGAGAATTTGGTGCAAGAGCGCGATGTCCTGCTTGACTGGAAGAAGGCGGCGGCTGCAGCTTTGCAAAAGCATGCCAAGAATTCTGAGGCCAAATTGGAAGCTCTCCCGTTCAAAGACAGCCAAGAGATGATGGTCAGGGTCAAAGCAGCAAAGAAATTTGTTCAGGATGCCAAGTCAGCCTCTTCCAAGAAGAGGAAGAATAAATAAAGGCATCTTTTTGATGCGGCTTAGCGGGCCGCAACTTAGCAAGCTTCGCGTTGCCGCGGCTTTGTGGGCCGCATGAAATGGCTTCAATGGCCGCGGCTTTGTGGCCGCTTGGTGGTTGCGGCCTCGAAGGCCGCCGCCTGGCTTTTTTACCTTGCAATCATGCAGTGACAGGTTCTGTATAGTTCGAACCAGGTCATAATGAGGTCATATGACGACGTCTGAGTTGCATGGATGAGCGTTGAACCTGCGCGCAGAACGAAAATGTCGATCGTGCGAAAGCTTCTGCAAGCCCAGCGCTCACCAGGAGCTGGTTGACGTTCACAGTTGGGGTAGCCGGTATGTGCTCAGAGTAAGGCATGGCACACAGACATGGGTTCTAAACTTCGAATTGTTCAAAAGGAATTCAATCCTCACCAAAAAATGTATCTTATTGCAACTGCATGTATGCCTTTTAGGTTTGGGCCTGCATGAAGTCATCACAAGATGTTTCTTCATGTGATCGCATGTTTTCCTTGTAAAGGGGAGCCTGCATGCCCAAGTCTCGAAAAACTAGCCATGGCCATGAAGATGACCTTGCGCTACGCGAATGCTTGAAAGTGCCAGGCTGCACTGAGAAGGCGTTGCATGGCATTTTGCAGATTGCTCGCCCAGAAGTGATTCCCAAGTCTTACTCAGGTTACAAGCGCAAAGTCCACAAAGAACTACCACACGATTGCACAGTAAAACTGCCAGTGGGAGAAAACAAAGATGGACAGATGATCCATGTAGCTGCGACTCACATACCAAAGTTCTTGCAGCATTTGGCATCCCAGAATGGTGCCTTCGCGAGGAGACTTGTCCACATCATTGACAGGTCTAACGGAGAGTCCTTCAAACCTTTGTTTTATTGGGATGAAGTGATTTCAGGAAACCCGCTAGCACCGCATTCTTCCAAGAAGATTGCCATTGGATACTTTACTATGGTGGAGTTGCAGCAGAGGCACAAAGAGGAAAGCTGGATCCCATTGCTGGTGGCGCAACACAAAAGCTTGGAGACAGTGAGCGGTGGTTTTTCCAGAATGATGCGAGAAGTGGTTTTGTTGGTGCGATCTTTTGATATGCAACATGGCATTCCCTTGGAAGTGGATGGGAATCAAAGCCTTCTTCGCATTGACATCGTGAAAGCAAATTTCATTGCAGACTTTGATGCCATCAGGGCAACGTACAATTGGAGAGGCAGCGCTTCGATCAAAGCGTGTATAGCGTGCAAAAACGTGTGCAAAAGAGATTCCAATCTTGTTGATGGCGAGAACTATCTTACAGAAATTTCGGAAACCAAATGGTCCAAGTTTGATCTCTGGAGTGACCAGGAAGTTTTTGAGCTTTGGGATATGATGGCCCGAGACACGCCCACAATGAAAAAAAAGGACAAAGAAAAAATTCGAGAAGCTTGCTGGCTTCAATTGGAATCCAAATGCTTTGTTCGCTCACGCTGAGGCCAGGGAAATTTTGAAACCAAGCGCCGTGCTTTTTGACCCAATGCATATTTTCTGGGCATCAGGTGTGGCAGCTTGGGAGGTTGTCAACTTGATGTCAGTACTTGCGACCAAGTGCAATTTTACTTGTGAAGATCTAGCCGGAAAAATTCAGGGCACCCCTTGGTGTAGTAGTACGCGAAAAGGGCAGTCCTGGCGAAAGAATTTGGCTGATGCACAAAAGTTCTCTGGTGATGCTTACCGTGGCTCAGCCAGTGATTTGAGAATGCTCATTCCTTTGATGCTTTATCACATCATGGAGTCAATCGACGACACTGAGCCTGTTCAGGCTGAGCTTCAATCCTTTTATGCCCTGGTTAAGCTTCTGGAGATTTTGGCCAGCTTTCAATGTGGGATCTCGAAAGTCAAATGCCAACAACTTTTGAAGCAAACCGAAACCTACTTGGAGCTTTACCTTTTGGCCTATGAAAACTGCAAGCCAAAGCACCATTACCAATTGCACCTGTGTGACATGATCTGGCGTACTCAACTTTGTGTGGACTGCTTCCCACAAGAGGCAAAACACAGGACGTACGAGTATCAACTTCAAAACAGGCTGGATGGGATGCTACATGATCCATTCCTGTTTTCAGAAGGCGTCTTGACGCGTCTTTTGAACAGCCACTGCCGCCTTTTCGACAAGCCGTGCTTGCCTGGTGACCTCACACCTCCACTATCTGAAAGTCAGAAGCTTGTAGATGGTTCGATGGTGTCTGTGCTAGAAGGCGCCGCTTTAGATCTGGAAGCAGGCCGTGTCTACAAAGATGATTTTGTGATAAGCCCGCGTGGCAGCGGTTTGGTACGAGCTTGTTTGAGATTTCGCGATCGCGCTTGGGTGCACATCGACCTCTACGATAGAGTTTTTTGGACCGTGGATTAGCAAGTTTTCCACCATTTTTCCTCATCGACCTCCATATATATCATGAAAATTTTCCCCTGTTCTATTAGCGGCCCCCAAAGCCGCAGCGGCCCTCAAAGCCGCAGCGGCCCTCAAAGCCGCCGTATGATTGTTGTTGTGAACAACATTCGTTGATCATCTTCGCACGCGTCTAAACAAAACCATGTATATAGACCATCATTTTTCGTCTTAAATAACTTAAGTAGCTTTGACGGTCGCTGCGGCTCTGGGGGCCGCAGCAACAAAACCTGTGTTTGAAGTGATTTCGGTTGAATGGTTTCTCTGTCCCACCGCCAAGGTTGAGAGCTGGGCTTGCAACAACGTGACCTTGTGGCGCCCAAAGGGCGACACGAAACTGGTTGCTGATGCGGATTTTTACAGCGCTTGGCAAAAGCCTAGCCACTGGCACAAACGGCAGGACAACAGCATTCTCCTTCTCTGCTGACGACTCAATTAAAGAGAAAACTTGCCTGAAGTTATTTGAAGTTACAAACACTTACAAAAACTTACGGTTGCTCAGATTTTACTAAGTAAGATATGTTTTCATAACTTCCATCTAACTTCTTGTAAGTCTGATATCTACTTATAAGTTCGCTAAGTAGAAACGGCCCTCGTTGTGGTGGAGGGTTTGCAGTCAGGCCGTTCGGTTCGGGCTTTGGTGCAGTTGTTGACCGACAAGGTAGACTTGGAGATCTACAATGACAACAGGGCGGCGATTGTGCTGGCATCCGGTTCTGGAGGAGGGTGGAGGACTCGTCATCTTCGTATTAGAGCCAGCTGCCTGGCCGAAGCCATGAAGGTGGGAGAACTTTCACTGACCCATCGAGTTGGAACAGCACTGTGGGCTGATGCACTCACAAAGCCCCTACCAATACCATCGCTGGAGAAGTTTTGCCGTGGGGTACACCTATGCCAAGATTGGGACCTCACAGTCAAGGAGACGAACAGCCTACCTAATGACGAGGGGGTGAAGGTCTCAAAGTGTATGGCGATGATGTTGACAGGTGTTTCCTTACTGCCTCAGGGAGCTGCGAGTGAAGTGTGCGAGAAGGGTGAGGAGAACCAGAATCAGGCGCCGTCAATGTTTGGTGATTTGGGCTGGTTCGTCTTCCTTGCTGGCCTGGTCTGCTTTTTGCATGTGCTGAAGGATGTTGGTTTTGCGCTGATTAAGCGGGTCATGGCGGGGAAGGAGGAGGTCAAAGTGAAGAGATTGAGTGATGATGCCACAATTCCCGTGAAGGGATCAGATGGTGCAGCAGGCTGGGATCTGGCTTGCTCGATGCCACTTCAAATTGCTCCAGGAGAACGCCGTCTGGTATCCACAGGGCTGGCCTTTGAGATTCCACATGGGTGCTATGGTCGCATCGCCTCGAGGAGCTCTTTGGCGGTACAAGGGTTGGAGGTTGCCGGAGGCGTGGTGGACTCAGACTTTCGGGGAGAGCTGAAGATCATCTTAGTCAACAATGGCGACACCATCAAGTCGTTGGAGGTGGGCGACCGGGTGGCTCAGTTGGTGATTGAGAGGGTGTCAACGGCTCCGATTGTCGTGGTGCCGGAACTGACCAACACGTCAAGAGGCAGTGGAGGTTTTGGAATCTCAGGGCTGGCAGTGAGGGCTATGAGGGCAGGTTCTGCAGAGAGCAGGGTCGGAGAAGATGAAGTACAAGAAGGTGGCCTTCGTGATCGGGGTGACCGGGTACAAGAAGGTGGCCTTCGTGATCGGGGTGACCGGGTACCAGAAGGTGGCCTACATGATCGGGGTGACCAAGTACAAAAGGGGAATCTACAAGATGAGGGTGCTCACGAACATGAAGGGGGGCCAGGTCAGAGTGGAGGTCTTCTACGTGTCCGAGAGAGCGGCAGAGTGGTGGCTTCGGGTCGAGTGCCCGACCGTGTCAGTTTTGAGACGTTCACCTCCCGAGGAGGAGAGACTATGCAGATCTTTTTGGAGCGCCTGCGACAAGGTGAACTGCAAGCCTATTCATGGTTGCTGGCAGATTGTGTGTTGCGGGTCATTTGCAACATGCCTTTGAATGGTGCTCCACATGAGGTCAATGTGCAGTTTCATCAAGCCTTGGTGATCATGAAGATCCACCGGCACGGTGGGCTGAGGAAAAAGCTCTTTGACAGCGACATGTCTGTCCCTCCAGTTGCACGGGGAATTGGCTCGGATGTGGTCACCATCGCCTGGTTGGAAGATGGGAGAAAGATGATCAGATCGGACCCCAGAAAAGGAAGTCATGGAATGCACTACCTACAACAAAGGTGGTCGGGATTCAGCATCTTGTTCCGCGTCGTGGAGCTGGTGAATGATCAGGCTGGGGCTGGAACAGGTTCATGCTGAAGAGATCGCTGGCGGTCATTGAAGACGAAAGGGGTATCCGATGAGTGGGTGAAAGGAAGAAGCATGGCACTATGTTTCGGAGATGGTTGATCGCTCTGGGTTGCTAGCGCTGCTTTGCTTGCGGCCGGATTCGGTGGGCGAATGCTGCTGTGGGCTGAGTGAGTTGTGATTTTCCATAGGGAGTGGTCGACTTAGATCTCCGATCTCGAAAGGGCTTGAGCTGGGACGAAATTTCCATGTCCCCTTTTTTGTGTGAATGTGAATGCGTTTTTTGTGATGGTGTGAATAGAGCACCATATTTTACCCAGGGATTCAAAGCCCTGAAGAACTTCAGCGGGGGAGAGCGAATCCCTGTCTGGAGGTCATGTGAAGTTGGATTGAAGACTTGCGATCATGGAAGCCCTTTCTGTTTGAGGAAAACCAAGTGCGAAACAACTTCGTACTGTTTGTGCTTATAATTAATACCTTGTGGCACTTCAAAAGGCAACTCTGTCACTTAGTACATCCAGGTATGACTCCGTATGACTCAATAGATATCTCATCTACAGCTCGGGACCCTGAAAACTCCACTCCTCTCGCCTCTCACCTACGAGTACCCAGTGGTGTTCGCGTTCACCTGTGTGTCTCCTCCGATTCATGTGATCCTCCCGGAGCTACCAGCGTTTTGGGGTCACCGGTTTCCCAGACCTCCCCCTTTGGCCGCCAAGGCTGACGTGGGTCATCCACGAGACCGAGGTGAGTGGGTGGACCGGGTCGTGAAGCGTGGACGGACCATGGCTCCGGTCTGGGCTCCAGGTGAGTTCTCACCCATCCCCAACGAGTCCCCAAGATTGGGGAGTCCCAAAGAGACATCCACCTACAGCAGAAGGTGTTGACCTGGTTTGGGGATTCACCCACAGGGGAAACTCCAGAATCAGCCGCAAAACCAAAAGGTCCACCATCACCCGCGACCGGAAGCGACCTCACCGAAACCCACTCGACCGCCCCGCGCGACCGCCACGCGCCCGCCACGCTTCACCCAGCGGCTGTGCTTGGCCTGAGTCGACTGGACCTTCCTCAGCGAATCTGGGGCTGCGGTAGTGAAGGTCGACCCAAACACTCCAGAAAGCCCAACTGGTCCCTCAAAACATCTCAAAACCATAGGGATTGGTGAGAAACCCCAGACCCCTCCATATGAGGGTACGGCCCCAAAGGATTCGGGGTCCAGGGTCGCGTTTGGGTAGACTAAAAGCACGGAACATGTAAGGACAGGTAAGCATACGTACCTCACATGTTGTGCACCGTCACCACTCACCGGGCCACGAAGACGTGTCATGTTAATCCAAGAAGACGTGACAAACCTCGAGCTTTTGGTCTTACGGGTATTCCACATGTTCCCGAACCTGCAGGGTCGGCATGCCTGGACCTGACTTTCTTCGTACCGAGTTTCTGGGACTACGACCCGAACCCCAAAACCAGCTATATCATTGCTATAGACCTGGACCCTCCTGTCGGGGTGTCCTGGCTGGACTACCCCACACTACCTATAGGCATCCAGACAGGGCACCCCTTGGAGGGTCCTGGGACATAGACTAAGTTACAACTGTTCAAACCCCACCATCGACTCTTCAGCATCTCCGAGCGGAACCGTGGACACCGGGTTTCTCTTCACCTCGTCGGTCCGTGATGCCCGGAATTCCGTGGCGAAGAAGGCACTGGGTGACCCAGTCAGTCATGGGCTCCGAGTCTTGACCCGCGTTTTTAAATAGGGAGACCTCCCAGGTCTGCCTGGAAGAAGAAAGTAGACATAGTTTCATCAGTGGTTGGAGGGTCTACCCGGTACCCTAATTACACCGAACAAAACGGCTCTGCAAAGACGTTGCAAACGCGTCGGAAGTGGTTTGAACGTCTCAGGTCGCAAGCGGTTCGGCGATTTGACTCTATAGAGTCGACTTGTTCGTACTTGGAGAAGAGATGGGGCGTGAGTGGTCCCTGCTTTTGGGTGGGGGCCTCTGGGAGTCATGTCCAATTTTCTGCGGTACGAACGAAGTCGGTTGCAGGTTCTTCTGTGAGGGGACACATGGGGATATAGAAGGTGCAAAGATCCCAAGACACATCGACAAACATGCTGGATGAACAAAGCCAAGGCCACTGTGCTACACTGTCATCATCTTTGGAAGTCTAAGGCATGAGAAAACAAGGCTCCAGGATGGTCCGGAATCCAACCATTCTTGTTCCATTGGATGATTCTGTGCAGCACCCTCCAGGGATCAAATGATGAGTCCATCAACCCTCCAGGTGGTCCGTCCATCCATCCTCCAGGGGGGCCCCTTCCAGCTGTTGAACACGATCTCTCCGCGCGTCGCAGCCCGGCCGACCCAACTTGACCAAGCTGAGCCTCTCCAACGATCCGCTGGCCTCCCTCAAGTGACGTTGCAACTCTTCCATGCGCTTCGGGCGCGAGCTCGCCCCGGCCCGGTGGCGACCGCTACGGACGTGCGCGCACCGGCGCGGTCGGTGGCTCGAGCGGCACTCACTGCAGCAGGTGGCAGTAGCACGTGGGGCGCCGAGCCCCTGTGGTGTCGACGATTGGAGTTGAGAAAACGATGAAAACAAATGAATCTTGGAACATCTTGGAAGCGCCTCAAGTTGCTGGAAGTCACTAAAAGATTGGTTTATTCTTGTTTATTCAATCATATGGGTTCTATCCTGTTGCAAGCAGGCCCAGTTCTTCCATCAAAGCATGCCACAGGGGTTCGGTGAGCTTCTTCAAGCTCGTCGCAAGCAAGAACCTCAAATGCAACAAAAGGCTGAAATCAATCTCTGTGCAGTCTTGGCTATGGCTCCATGCCCAGGGCACCCCAGTTTCCCTCTATCAATGCTAGCAAAATTGGTGGAGCTATATAGACTCTTCAGTCTTGCGAACATGGGGGGAAACGACCACCAACAGTCTCCCAAGCGGTGGATGAACCAAATGGGAGGACGTTGGCTGCACCGTCGCTGCAAAACCGTTGCTCTCCCCATGGAACCCACCTGTATCTGAGGTCCGTCTTCTAACCGTCGAACCCCGAGTCGCTGATGGAAAGGTTACAACCTGAATTCCACCTGTTTTGGTTTATAGAGGGAAATAACATGTTCCCCAAAACGCTGTTGCATGGTTTTGCTTGGTCCACTCAACTCCCAGGACGTGGGGATAAAGTTAAAGTCCATGAGGACGTCCACCGTCCACCGTCGGCGTGTTGGCTTCGTCGTCCCGTGACGTTTGGAGGCAACCGTAAAATCCGTAAAGGTGGGGATTGAGTCTTGTTCTGAGAGTTTGTATTACCCTAAGAATCCGGGCCCGGTTCGCAACACATAGGGTTTGGGAACCGGGTTTGTATTACCCTACGAAACCCCTGCCATGGAGGGCCCGTACGGCTTCTTAGGGTATGAATGTATCGATCTACAAATCCTATTACCTGGGCCCAGTGGATGATGATGGTTAGGTACCAGGCCTTGTCCCAAAAATGATGATTTGCTTGTTGACTGGTCCTGTTACAGGTAAGAGCGGACAGACCCAATCTACAGAGTAGAAATCCAGAAGATCCCTCCAAAACGACCGGCCACGGCCGGCCTCTCTCAAACTCTCGCATCAAACAGGGCAAGCAACTAGGGAAGCACCCTGAAACACCAGTGTTTTACACCCTGAAAACCTTGAAACGGGACCCTCAACAGCCTGGACCCTGGAAACCCTGGAACCAGATTTCCAGGTGTCCGGATTTGAAGCAGCTGCTTCAAGTTGTCTTTGACTTTTTTCCGAGCTTCCAGTACTTCCCTCCTCTGGGACTTGGTTTGCTCAAGAGGGCGAGTCTCAAAGTACTTCGGACAGTGAGTATCAATACCTGGATTTGTTTAGTAATACCCAAACACTCCATGTATATATGCCTACATTGACCCCGTTTCAACCACCCCAACTGATCGGCAGTCCTATGGCAGTCCCATTAGTCGTGTCTGGGATATAGGATCATGTCTACAAAAGAGGGTACTGCCTTGGAGTCGGGTCGTAGATGTCAGCAAGCACCAGCGTTCGCTGCTTCCCATCCATCCGGGAATCTCCAGGTGGGGTCGCCGGGTCGGCCGGGGGTCCTCATGAGCCTTCTGCAGTTCCGCGCGCGTTGCTGCAAGTTCCTGGGGCCAAGGGCCAGCGGAGGCACGGAAACAGGCGCGAAACCGTTGGAGGGAAAACACCCCGAATGTGTGGCGAAATTAATGATGGCTAGTAACCGCATGTGATTTGGATAGATTTGGAACTTCCACTACTAACATGGAGATAGTCTGTTCTTAACCATTTTTTCATGTCGCATGCCTTCCCGCTCAACTTCGATTCTCGTGCCGACTGGTCGTGGGAACCATGCCGGTGCCGATTCCTTTTTAAAGAATTCAGCACACTGGCACACATCCCTTTGATAAGTTCTTATCATACATCATAATTTTGTTTTAAGACCGTTCTGTTCGGAACCACCATTGTGAACAAGTGGATTTACAACCCATCCCCCTCATCAGTGCAAAGAAAAAAATCTGGGGTATATTCTCACGCCCCAACGGCATTCGTTGGCACCGCATTGGCACCGTGCCGTGCAGGATGTCCTCTTGGATTGCTGGATTCTCCTGGTTCTTCTCCGCCTGCATGACAAACTGGCGGCATGAAGACTTGGTAATGGATGTTGGAGATTCTTTACGGAAGCGGCTGAAGCGGCTGTGGAGTTTCATCTATTTGTTCCTGGTTGTTTGGGCTTCCAGGTGGCACTCTCCGACTGATTCTTCCATGAGGAAAACAGGTGGCCACAAGGAAAACAAGAGAAGGACACAAGGTTCGCCAGCGCGGCCAGAGGACAGGAGGAGTGGAGGAGAAAGACGCATGGCCACAGGGAGAAGGGCACAGGGTTCGCCAGAGCACAGCACAAGGACATGAGGGCACAGCGTTTGCCAGCGCGGCCAGAGGACAGCAGGACGGCACCAGGAGGAGCAGGGTTCGCAAAGCGTATAGCCCA